CGGCCGCCTTACTCCCCCTTTTACCTTTATATCGTATTTTATGTACCGGTGGTAGGTGAATAATTGGTCGTCGAGGACATCCCACCCGTGTACTCTTCTGGACAGCCCTTCACTCGCGATCGTGACATCAATGTGTGTTTGGCTGGCCCCCCTCACGAAGGTTGGTTTATCGTTGTTTAATACTTGGAAGCCAGCCTGGGCTATCCATTCATTCCAGAGTTCCCCCTTTTTGTCATTTATGGGGGAACCCCATAACATGGATTTCGCATTTATGTCCCCGGCGATCAATATTTCATTTTCATTCGTGGCGACGCTCATTATTTCGTCTACGATTGATTTATACCTTAACATAGGGATATTGGGAGATATGTAACATGCCAGGAGGCAGAAATCCCTCAACCTAATGAGGATATGGTTCCCCCCCCCCTGACGATGCTCCGCACTCCCACATCCCTGTTTCTAATGAGCACCGCCACGTTTTTTCCGTCATCCTGAACCCAACCACCACCTGAAGTAATCTTCTTATTTGGTTCTGGGACGATGAGCAGGTCTGTTTCTAGATTGCAGGCCTTTGCGTGGACAAGGTCCTACGCCCGGCGCTCTCTGCCCACGTTCACCTGCAATATCCGTATACCAGGTTGATCCTTGAGGTCCGTTTTGGTTCAGTTCCCTGAGGTCGTTACTGCGTCGGAATCACGTCTCGTCAATAAGTTAAAATAACTACGAACTAAAATAAATAAATAAATAAATATAGATAAAATAGATAAATAAAATAAATAAATACAATTTATATAAGTATAAATAAAATAGTTCATTAAATAAAAAATGTAAATAAAATAAATAGCGTTTGTATAAATAAAATATTTCGTTAAATAAAAATAAATAAGTAAAAATATATTATAATAAATATAAGTAAATAAAAATGGGTTAAATCTGTTCTTCCTCTTAGTTATTTTAAACCAGATTCTGCGAGAGGTGGTCTCCTGTTTCACTGGTGGACTGTATATGGGCTCACCCTCGTTCTCCAAGAGATCACCTCTCGTCTCTTCGTTTTCTTTTTTCTTTTTTTTACACATTTTTTTTGAGGGGCTCCCTTTCTCCTCCCCTGCCGTATACCAACGCCCTATAGGCTGGGCATGCCATGCGATCCATGCGATGCCCTTCTTCTTTACACGTAAGGCAGTACGCAATGCCGCTACACTGCACCGCCGTGTGACCACTTTTAAAGCAGTTGTAGCAGCATGCTACCCTGCTTTCCCCCTTACACTCATAAGTATTGTGCCCGTATAAGAGGCATTTGTAACATCTTACTGGCGTGTGCTTTTCCATGATCGGGCATGACACCCAGCCTATAATGATTGAGCTATATTTCAATTCTACGGCTTTTGTTGGGGGTATGGCTATAGTAGCCAACTGTTCCCCGTACCTACTGGTCCTTAACGTTTTTATATCTATTTCGTCTTTGGGGATACCTGTGTATGACTTTATGGCGTTATGTAGCCTCTCCTCTGTAACGCCAGGGTCCAACCCCGTTATTGTAAAATGGATTTCCTTTTTACGGATGGCCATGTTCATACCAGACATTCTCGTATCCATTTCTTGTTTCAATTTTTCCGCGGCTCCCTTCCCTTTTAATTTTACGAGGATATCTCCTCCTTCTGTTTTTTTTAGTCTGTCCACTTTTATTCCTATCTTCCCGATATCTATCTTTTGATTCATTTCTTTTAAAACTTCCGTATACTTTTTTACTCCCGTTTTAATTAGGAGGGCTTCCTCTTGTTCGTTTTTCACCCCTTTATCCATTTCCTTTCCTCTTACTATAATTTTCCAAGTAATATTCTCCCACCGACCCACGAATTCTAGTGACTTCCGAACGTCGTCTTTGTTGATATCGTTGTTGACGATTACTCTGACCGTTTCCGGTTGCTTCTCCCTTTCTTTTATCTGCTTGATGGCCTTCTCGGCCATCTCATACATTCCGTGTCTTTTTATTTTTGTGACGTATGTGTACCACTGGTTTTTTTGACTAGCCATAGAGCTTCTCTTAGCATTTTCGATGTACTCTATACTCCCCTCTTTGCATCCCTCTATAAGTTCAAAGACTTCTTCCCTATATGTTCTTATTACACTTTCTATTCCCCCGTCTTTTACTTCTTTTTTCGTTATTATTAGGCATTCCTTCTTTTCTACTGTTTCTTGTAGGCCCCCCTGTTCCCACTTAGTTTTTTCAAAGACCTTTTCTACACATTTCTTTTTATAGATTTGGCTAAAGGCGGCTGAGTCTCCTCCTTTGTTTAGGATCCCAATTATTTTTTCTGTTTCCTTCCTCTGCCTTTCCTGTTCTATCTTCAATTGGCATTGCTCGCATTTTTCCTTTTCTTCCTTTTCTTCTGACACTTGGATTTGGCTGGTTTTATTTTGAATCGTGTTTATTTCCCCCAATAGCTTCTTCATTCTAATTCTTTCTTCTTCTATAGATCCATCCATGTTCAGGATATCGAGCATCTCCCTTATCTTTCTCTGGACCTTCTCTTTGTCCGTTTCTTCGGGGTATTTCTTACTTTCCTCTAATTTCTCTTTCTTAAATTTCTCGTTAATCTCCAAATTATCCCCCTTTCTTTTTTTTACTTGTTGCATTTCAATTCTTTCCTCCTCATCGAACAGGAAACTTGCCAGGATGCTCTCTCCTGTGTCCTGCCATCCTGCTTCCCCTTGGCTTTCTGTTTTTCTTTTGGCTTCTGCCTTCGCATTTTCTACTGTTTCTGCCAAGGAACCTTCGTCTCCTTTGTTTCCCTCCTCTTTTTCCTTTTCTTCCCTATTTGTTTCCCCTAGAATCTCTTCCCCTACCAGTGTCGAGTGTTTTTGGGCATCCGACCTGTTCATTTTTGGCTGCTTGCTATGCCAATTCAATAGTTCTAGTTCAAATTTTCTCTGCTCTTCTTCTTCTTCTATTTTGCCGTCTTGCGACTGTTCTTCCCCATTTATGTTTTTATCTATAGCGTTGTCCTTATTAGTTTGCATTTGGTCGTCTTCGCCTTTCATCTTTACATTTTTGGTTTTATTTTGATACATATGAATTCCCACGAGTCGGGACGTGCTATTTGTCTGACACGGCAGTGCGCCCTTACCGCGTTAAGGCTGGATTACTTCAGGAGGTCGCCAGGTATCCTGAAGGGATCGTTTATGATGCTCTAACCCTCAAATCTCTCATATCTTTAGCACGATGCCTTCCACCGTGATAGTGGGGATCTTTTATTGAGGTTTACTCCTCTAGGCTTTTGTCACGGTTGCCTTCGGACGCAGTAACAGTCTGTGTGAACAGGCTACTTGGAGTTTCCACGTAACTGCTGCCTCCACTGTTACGTGGGAATTAAAAATAGGACGTATGATGGAAAGGGTAATAGATAGGGTAAACATGTGGGCTACTCCTATGAGATGTGTTGAGTAATTTTTGTGTTTTGGGGGTGAACGAGATTAGAATAATTGGGATTGGGTAGCCGTAGGAAGATTGGAGGGTAGTTTTGTTGCTGAAGGCAGAAGGCGTCGCAAAATGCTCGCCTCAGTTGCGGCGCCTTTTGGCGTCCAGTGGCGGTGTCCGGCGCCCACCCGGTGCACAGTCACTGGACGCCGGGACTGTGTTTGGTTTCACTGATCGTGCTCCCCTCACAAAATTTCAGGGAGCACGACCAATTACTCGGCCCTCTCACCAGCGTCCAGGAGAAATTACAGCCCCGGAGAGGGTTAGCAAACATAATGGAAGAAAATATTTCTGTGCTAGTTCTTTTCGCTATTTTGTTACTAAGGAAAAGTTAAATATTCATAAGGAATGTTGCACAGGGCGATCGGATGTTATCTGTGATAGGTGTTTACAACCGTTTTCATCGGCTGTTCAGCTAGAAGCTCACACCAAAGATTGTATAATAATTAACGAAACAGCTATCAAAATGCCAGAGGCAAGTCATAAAATGCTTAAATTCAAAAATTACAGGAATAAAATTAAAGCCCCTTCGCCATATACGCGGATCTCGAAAGTGCTTTGAAACACAAGGGAGATCCAAAAAAACAACAAGAGCATATTCCTGTAGCAGTTGGGTATTATTTCAAATGCTCGTATGATAATGCGCTCTCTTTTTACAAATCATATAGAGGAAAAGATTATATGCGGTAGTTTGCAGATGAACTTATCAGCTTGCTGAGGATGTTTCTACAGTGTTTATGTGCCCGTATGATATAAATATGACAAGTCAGCAAGAGAGTGATTTTCATGCAGCCACTCATTGTCATATCTGCGAGCAACGCTTCTCTCCCAGTGATAAAAAAGTACGAGACCACGATCACCTCACCCCAGAACATAACTACAGAGGGGCAGCTCATGAACGTTGTAACATCAATTACAAAGACGCTCACACTATCCCAGTGATATTTTATAACCTCTCTGGATATGACGCACATTTCATTATTAACGATATTGCCTCGCATATAAAAGGACCTGTAGATCTTCTTCCTATTACTAAGGAAAAATATATCTCTTTTACGAAACACATTGACATGCTCGAATTAAATTCCGTTTTATTGATAGTTTTCGATTCATGGCGTCTTTACTCGATAAACTTTCTTCTAATTTGATAGAATATCCTAATCTCCACTCTCAATTTTCACTGCTTCCTGAGGAGCAATTCAATCTTCGAACCAAGAAAGGTATCATGCCATATGATTATGTTGATTCATTTAATAAATTTGCTGAAACGTCTCTACCTCCTATTGAGTCTTTTTACAATAGACTTGAGGATAAACCATGTCCTCGCCGTCATTATCGTAGAGCACAAGATGTCTGGTCTTCATTCTCTTGCTCCACTCTTGGGGATTATGTTGATTTATACATGAAGATCGATATTTTTCTTCTTGCCGACGTTTTTGAGCAATTTCGATTCAGTTGTCTCAAAACATATAATCTTGACCCAGCTCATTACTTCACTCTTCCCGGCTTTACGTGGGATGCAATGCTTAAATATACAAAACAGGAACTTGAGCTTTTAACAGATCCAGATATGTTTTTGTTTGTGGAGCGTGGTATACGTGGCAGTTTGAGTCAAGTCTGCTCGAAGCGTCGTGTTCATGCTAATAACAAGTATATGGCATATTACGATCCATCTAAGCCCGACTCCTATTTGTTGTATTTCGATGTTAATAATCAGTATGGTTGGGCTATGTCTCAATATCTTCCTTATGGTGGATTCGAGTAGGTTGATACCAACATTGATGTCCTTTCCATCGCTGACGATGCTTCTGAAGGGTACATTCTCGAGGTTGATCTAGAATACCCCCAACGTATCCACGATCGTCATAAAGATCTTCCGTTTTCCCCCAATCATTAAACCCTAAAACTATGGTTCCTCCTACACGTCCGCGAGAGCAGACTAAATTAATGTCCACTCTATATGATAAAGAAAGATATGTAATTCATTATGGGACTTTAAAACAAGCGTCAGCACATGGATTGATATTAAAGAAGATTCACCGGGTCCTGAAATTCAAACAGAGTCCATGGTTAAAGTCATACATTGACTTGAATACAAATCTCCGGAAGGCAGCGAAAAATGAGTTTGAAAAGGACCTTTTTAAGGTTATGAACAACTTTAGAAGCTGTGCTGAAGCTAGAATAAGTAGTCCATTGTTTAAGAATGCTACTATCTTTAATGAAAACTTGGTAGCTGTTGAGATGCAACGAGCAGAAATATGGTTAGATAAACCAATATATGTCGGAATGAGTATAGTGGATTTGGCCAAAACCACGATCTACGATTTTCACTATGGGTATTTAGCTGAAAGATTTGAGGAAAACTTTACGACTTGCTATACAGATACCGATAGTGTAATCGTAGAGATACGGGAAAAAGATCCCTATGAGGCTATGATAAAAGATTGTCGTCAATACTTTGACACGTCTGACTATCCTAAAGACAATATTTATGACATCCCCCAGGTTAACAAGAAGGTGTTGGGTATGATGAAGATGAAAATAAGGGCTGCATTATGACTGACTATTTAGGACTCCGATCTAAGTTATACACGACAAAAGTAGCTATCACAGATATTGAGATCAAAAAAAAAGAGGGAGGAGTTGAAAGATCAGGAGTATGAGGATGATGAAATTGACAATATTATTAATAATTATGGTGTGACAAAGAAGGCGAAGGGGGTAAAGAAATCTGTTGTAAACACTAAAATTACATTCGAGGACTATGTTGAGTGTTTAGATAACTTTACGACAAAGATGGCATCGCAAAATCTAATACGCTCAGATAAGCACCGTGTTTATACCATAACACAAAGCAAGATTGCGCTAAGCCCCAATGATGATAAAAGACATCACCTTCCGGAGTCTTATGATACGCTTCCATGGGGGCACTATTTAATTAATAATCTTGAGATGGATGTTGATTAGCACAAAGCAAGATTTCAATAAGCCACCTCATTTCTAACTTTTATTTCTATTTGGTTAACTTTAAGATGGATGCTAATTGTATATTGTCATTTTTAAAACTTAATTTAGTTATTATAACTACAATATTTGATAAATACATATGAATCAGACATTTTTTTATTATGTTTTTCTTAACACCTTTAATATCACTTATCATTTTTATATAATTAAGATTAGCATATTTTAGTTGTTTGAATATAGTCATTTTAAAACTTTATTTATTTCAGCTAACATAATGCTAAATATATCGGAACAGACCCTTTTATTATATTCCTTTTCTCAGCCTTTCCCTCATTCATCGTTTTTTATATAATATGGTAATTATAATAGATTTTAGTTTTGTATATATTATTTTTAATTAAGATACTTAAGATTAGCACATATAAAAAGATGTTTAGCTATGACCACTAAAAAGATATCTGATATGGACCGCTGGCAAATTAATGAACCGATCTTATTAAGTTAGGATCTAGTGTTCGTGCAGCCTTCTAGCAAGATAATCAATAATGGTTGTCTTTACCCCGATTTAGTTTTAAGTCTTCGATAGCCTGTCCCAAAACAGGAATCGGAGAAATCCCTAGTTTTAAGTCTTCGATAGCCTGTCCCAAAACAGGAGTCGGAGAAATCCCTAGTTTTAAGATTAAATAACCTAGAGTTATCGACCAACCCCCAATAATTCATTTTGAATACTAAACAGCACAGTAGCTATTGAATTATTAACACCAAAGTATCGATGTTTTAACAATAATAAAAATAAAAGATGTCCACCGAATCAACAAAAAGATGTCTACTAAACCAAGTTAAATCATGTGTTGATCTTAGTAAAGTTAAGTATATTGTTATTATATATATTATCATATAATGTAAATTAATTCATTCCTGCTAACCATCATCCTTACTAACATGGCAGTCGATGTAGTCTTACCTTCACGTTGGTGACTGCTGTTAAGAACATATTTTTTTCTATTTTTCAACAAATTTATGTTCGAACCGAATTGACTACCTTTCATTCAGTGCATGCTTACATCATTTTTTTATACGTTGCTTTACACATACATTTCATCTCTTCGATACTAACATTACCTTATTATCGTTTTAACTTACACCTTAAAATACTGATTACATTTAACCATTACTTACTGCTGACCTTGCTAACATATTTTTTCATGCAGTCTATGTAACTATTTCTTACCAGAGACCCGAAGCACCATACCAACCTACAAAACATAATATTGCCCGAACTGCCGTATATAAAATATAGTATGCAACTCACCATTTGTATTCTATAATTTTTATATCGCCCAAATTGTCGTAGATAAAATATAGTACGCAACTCACAATACATTTGTATTCAATAATTTCAATGAAAATGCTACGCATACACAGAATAATAGTGCTGTATAGTAATGTACGTTCCGTGTATAGTAATATTCAATCTGAGAAGATTATATTGAGAATGTTTGTTGGTTTACTGTAAGAATGGTATACATTTTTCGATTAATCATGTTCTATTTCTAGTAATACCTCACAGGTTGTTGCACCTTATATCGGACACCTCGCCTTTCGCATTGTTTCAAGAAAGAGAGAGAGAGAGAGAGAGGGAGAGAGGGAGAGAGAGAGAGAGAGAGAGAGAGAGGGATAGGGAGAGAGAGACAGGCTAAAGGAGTGTCTTTTACGATGACAGGTGCTAGATGTAGTCGACAGGTGACGTGACGAGATAATGAACTGTAATAGACGTGAAATCCCCTTCAAAATAGGACCAATATATGATATAGCGCCGTTTTGGTGATGTCATTCTCTGTTAACCTCACTTTCCATCAATGTCTATTATACTAAATAAATAGCAACAAAGATCCGATATAGCTCCGTTTTGACAATGTCTTTGTCTTTTGTTATTTTGTGTGTTAACGTACTTCCTCTCCCCGTTCCAACGAGCCTTCGTACGTCATAATCGGACCAATAGGAATGAAGATATGACGTAATGCCGTTTTGACAATGTCTTTGTCTTTGTTTTTGTCTTAACATATTTCCCGTCACCCCCCCTTTCATTTAACATGTTACACGTAGTAATCTGACTAATATCAACAGAAATACGACATAGCGTTGGCACAGTCTTTGCGTTTGCTTTTTGTTTTAACATATTCGTTACCACCTCCCTTTTCCATCGATATCTTGTACGTTGAGCCATTTAAACGTTACAAGCTTAGTGCCATTTTGGTAATGTCTTTGCGTTTTATTTTTATCTTAACATTTTCGTTGCCCCCCTCCCCTTTCCATCGGTACCTCACACGTTGCTGTACGTTGAGCCATTTGGATGTTACAAGCTTATAGTGCCGTTTTGGCGATGTCTTTGCGTTTTATTTTTATCTTAGTATATTCGTTAATGCCATCCCCTTTCCAGTGAACCTTTGCACGTTGACTTGTTTAGACGTTACAAGATTAGTGTCCTTTTGGCGTTGTATTTTACGATTGTTTTTGTGTTAACGTATTCGCTACCCTCTCCCAGTTCCAACGAGCCCTCGTATGTCACGATCTGACCAATAACAATGGAGATATGACGTAATGCCGTGTTGGCACAGTCTTTGCGTTTGATTTTTATCTTAACATATTCGTTATCACCTCCCCTTTCCGACGATACCTCACACGGTACGATCCGATGAGTCGTTTTACCCACACCACAAAATGAGCAAAAAATGAGCAGAATCGACGTTAGAATTTCTTATGGAGATTTACATGGGAAAATGACCGATTTTGTGCTCGTACTCTCACAGCCCCTTTACTAATATACGTAAGTACATATATTGAGATACGAAAATGAACTCACTTTTCTTTATTGAAATTAGGTAAAGAACCTTTTAAAGTCATGAGGAGACACGCAGGATCTATTCATTAACCACACTGTATCCTAAAATAAGTTAATTAAAAACTATATGCAATATATCAAAGTTCTGGGAATTTTGTGCAGAATCCAAAAATTTTATGATATAACCAATGTTTCATTTAAAATAAGAAAGTTGGTATCATAGTAATTAATATATAACATCAGTCAACATCCTGTATATAAAATAAAAAATTTTTATTGGAAAAAATGCGCAAAAAGTATTTTTTAAAATACTTTTTAAAACTATTTTAGAAAACCTTTAATTTTGATTTGCTATTATTTACTATTAATTTTAGAGTTATTCTTATAATTTAAACATTATTAAATTGATCAAACGGGTTAAATAGATGGATTGAAGTAATTACAATTATATTATTTATCTATAGCATTTTTCAGATAAAAAAGCTTGCACGTCATTCAAGATTTACATATTCAGAACCCCACAGCGTTGCCAAAACATCAGAATAGTTAGTAAGTGAGGAATTTTTAAAATCTCAACTATTTGTCAAACTATTATATTAACAGTAAATATACACTTAGTTTTAAGACTACTGCAACACATTAAAATACATAAGAAACCATTTTAATACAAAATTATATATTCTAAATTTTAAACTTACCTCTTTTAGGGCTTTAATAACGAAAACGTCCCGCCATTATTTCTTGTTCAAAATAATCTATCTTATATGAAAGCTTATCAGCTTTCTAAAGACTTTTAATTGTTTTGGCATATCACAATCACAATACACAACAATAATTAGTTTTTAAACTTCCACCATTTATTTAATCTACATCGACCTCGTCAGACGCTTCTAACAATGATTATAATTCAGCAGTGGTCAATCTACGTTTATGTTCACATCTAGCTTTTTTAGATGTCGAAGGCATATTATTTACATCCATTTTTTTACAAATACTATAACTCAAAATCAAATCCAATACTATAAGGGCACTTGAGGCACAATACGTTTTTAACTTAAAAATAGTTCCTGTATAAGTAAAGTTGTTTCTTAATGTGCTTCATGTGCATGCTAAACACATTGCAGCTTTGCCTTCACAATCTTCACAGTATGTTTTAACTTTTTTAACTTTTCTATCGGCCTTTCTACTAGTCATGCTTCTTCTTAAAATTTTTTAACATCTTATACACGTTCTTCTCTTTTTATTATCTACATCTCTTTGCCTGAGATGGTATTTTTTGGGTGTAACTGGTCGTGAGTGTTCCAACATTTCTTTATTTGCAAATGTCTTTTTCTATTATTTAGCAACTAAGCATTATTATATATTAATTCCACTGCTACTTTCCGATGCCACTTCCGAATTTTGCGTATTGGGCTTTGGTAAAAAGCCATTTGATCATTAAAATCAATACTCCTTTTCAACAAGTTATAATTGAGAATAGCTTGTGCTTTTAGCACTTGTGTATAATGTTTCTTTTCACATGATTAAACCGGGATACAACTATTATGTTTAAATGTTGTAAGGATTAAAACTGGTCTTTTGTTGACCCATTTTTGGTTTTACATTTTTTTTAGTAGAATATCTAAACATAAATTCGTTTCTTAAATCATGATTTCCGTTCATCGAACAATATTCTAAAAAAATGGTGTTTTTACGTCGTCCGGAATATTATAAACTAGTTCTCTTTCACCAAAGCATTGGAAATATGGTT